TGGCAAGTACAGAGTGGAGGAACCAGTGGAGAAGCTGACGTCAAAGTGGATGGAAGGCGGCTGGAACAGGAGCGGGGTGGAATTAAGTGAGCGAGAGACAGGCTTGCGTGAACCTATCGGGGTGAGTCCGAGCCTGAGCTAGGAAATCAGTACGAATGACCAAAGGTGCTTGATACTCACAAATGAGGAACTGAGGCTGACAACTGAACATTCGCTTTTATTTGGGATAGAAGCTACGGCAGGATTTAAATGAAAGAGATCTTGAAATATGATTGGCTTCGGAGAAGGTGCGGTCTTGATGTTGATTGGCTGAAGCTGAAAAAGGGACCTAGGGGGACCAGGTGAACCTGAAAAGAGTCCTTCTGATTGATTTTCGCTTAAGCTTCATTTAACAAACATATACTCTCAATGCTTTTTACAGTCAATTAGTCCAACTCATACAGACCAATAACTGAAAAGAATGTCAGCCTAGCTGTCCATGGTAGCAACAATGGAAAGTCACTTGCATTTTGTTTGTGAAATTGCAATAATCTCTCATACAATGAATGCATGTAGCTACAGCAGGAAGGAAAACTCCTTTTTAACATAAATAAATCTCAAACAACACAAGACTCATAGTGTAAAATTAGAAGTTTGGTTCAAAAGAGAGGAGCCTGATAACTGAAATGTCTTCCTGCTATTTTATTTATTGAAATCTTAGTAGTTTTGGGATATGGTGCTATGTTTAGAACAAATAATCTATTTTAAACTGTTTTTTGGTCTTTTAACAACAGAATTTTGTCAGTTATTGTTGAAACTACCAAAAAAAAACCTTTGAAAAAAAATATTTTTAATAACCCCCCAAAAACCCAACAACAACCAAACAACTTTTTTTTTTATCCTACAAATAATGAAGTGGGGGTAATTAAACATTGGATGAGAAAAAGCTTGGTTGGGTTGGGAGGGAAAAGGCAACTTACAGTTGAAGCAGCTTGTTAACATGTAGAATTAAACATGTGTTTTTAGGCTGTGGACACATGTAAAAATGTTATGTTTTAAAATGTATGTCACAGAAAAATAACACCCCAAACTATAACTGTCATCATAGCACTTTGGCAATCAGTTGATCAGTTTATGATAGAAACTTTTTTTTTTTTAAACAACAGTCTATTTATAAACCCTCTATCAGTTGGCAACAGTGACACGTTTTATTTCTTTTCCATCCAACAATGTGAACCACACTGCCACAGTTCATATCAGCAATCCTGCTGGATCCAGCCAAAGCAAGATGCACTGAGTCAATACAGTAAAAACTATTGCACATATCAATCATTAATCAAAGCCCTCTAATAGGAGTAAATGCAGAGGCAAAAACTGACATAGACTACAAAAAGTAGCTTTTTGGATTTGTATCCTGATCCTGTGTAATTAATTAGTATTTTTTTTAGTAATTTAGATGAAACCAATACATGCACAAGGTTTTGTGACAGCCAAGGCACACATTGAATAATACAGTGTAAAAATGGAAGACAATTATACACTGGTTTCCTCTTTTTCCCTTACAAATATCTAAATAGTGTACATTTGTGATGATTTCTTATCCCTTCTTCTCTGGAGAATATCCCAGGAATAGTGAGATTTGATGGGGATATTCCTTAATCCCAAACATTTTGATAAAGTTTCACAGGTTTTTTTCATGGATTTGCTCGTATTTAGCTCCATTCATCTTCCCACCATCCCAAACCACAATGTGTCTGGTAAATAAAAGCATATCCACATTATGATGTTACCACCTACCCAGTGACAATTTCGATTCAGTTCAATTTATTTATATAGCGTCAATGCACAACACGTCATCTCAAGGCACTTTACAGTTCAACCAGATCATACAGTCAAATTAATTCAAAGTTTTCTATCTAAGGAAAACCAGTTGACTGCATCGACTCATTTACTCGAATGCAATCCCTTACACTAAGCATTCTTGCAGCGACAGTGGAGAGGAAACACTCCCTTTTAACAGGAAGAAACCTTCAGCAGAACCAGGCTCAGTGAGCGGCCATCTGCCGATGCTCTGAGCCAGCTCCCATGTCAGAGGATGAAGAAAGCACATCTAGCCAGTCACAGTCAGCGAAACAGGACTACACTGGAAAACAGGCTGATTTCTAACATCTATAAGCAAAAGTGTTGATGGCAGCAGCACAGCTGATATTTCTCTCCAGGGTGGCGTCACAGTAGCCTCGTGAGACCATCCTGATCTCGCAAGCTTTCAAGGTTTCACTCGCAGATCAGTCTGGAGACTCTCCGTTAAAGAAAATTTGGAGCCGCTCACCAAACGAATGTCCAATCAGCGTTGGCTTTAAGGCAGGTTGAGGTGTGACGCAACGAGAAGCGCGACAGTTCAGTCTAAAGAACATGGCGGCTTCAGCCGATGAAACTAGCGTTAGCGTGGCTATCGAGCAAGTTTTATCGGAATTACAGAGTATTTCTTCACTGAAAGAAGAGCAAAACACTGCTGTGGAGGCTTTTCTCAGAGGAAAAGATGTTTTTGCTCTTCTCCCGACTGGTTTCGGCAAGAGTTTGATCTTGTGGTTGTGTTTTCGTCGTCACTCTGTTAGTACGTCATATGCTTCGTTGATCTGATTGGTTTATTTGGCCCGTCTATCACCAACATAGGCGAATGAGCTAACCAGTATTTTCGCCTCTTCCCAAAATTACTTCAACGGAAGGTTTCCAGATGGATATGCGGAGTAAATCCATCTGGCGGAGTCAGGTTAGCGTCACAGCCAAACAGGAACAGACAAGGCAAAGCTACTATAAGAAAAAACAGAGAGAGCAAAACATTAGAGAATGAACTAACAGATTCTGCAGAGTGGGAGAATAGAGATAGAGCAGAATGATGGAACATAGCAAACATAGCAATGTCATGTTCAACTACTTTTTTAAATGTTTAATGATGTGGCTTTAAATGTCTCCACATCTTCATTCCTGACCATTCTGCTGTGTTCATAGGTCAGTTTCATATTAATTTTCTTAAGCCTCAGTTCATAAGTCTGTATTACACACAGGTGGCCCACATTTGCCTAGTGTGCCATATGAAGACAATTCTAAATTAAGTGTACAATGATGCTGTATTCTTTGTTCTACTTTATAACTCTAACTGAATAACATGCATGAACACTTCTGAATGTAATTTGGACAATTTTAAAAAGACTCATGGAATACAAATATTTCCCTAGTTTAATTCATCATACTTAAAAGCTGAGGAAGAAAATAAGGACATTAATGACATCTGAGTGAGTGATCATACAATCAGCTGTCCATCAATATTTTTTCATGCATTGTAAATACCACAAAGATTTACAGCAGCCGTGATTTCATTTTACAAGGGTAGCAGCAACAGAAACCATTATGCAGGAAGTCCAAGACGCCTAGAGTAACAGGGCGGTTGTTTTTCAACACTATGTTTACAAGAGACGCTGCTCCATCTTAGGACTATCCCTAAAATAGGGGCTCAGCGGTTGGGTTACAAGGAGGAGTTTTATTTCTCAGGGGCCGCTACCAGGTGGGTGCTTTCAAAAGCTTCCTGTTTTTGTGTCAGTTTAAGATGATTTGGTCATTGCATGATTACATCACAGAAACATTTATGAAGCTTTTGAACTATGAGTAGGTTATATCAAGAAAAAAGATTTGCGTAAAATAAGATAAACAGGTTCATGGCAACCCTGAATTCGATTCAAAACATCGTCCTTTTTAGGAAAAAACTTTGCCCATATCTTAACGGTTAGAACGAGCCTCAACGGTGAGAGTATATGGACCCGTGTGTGTTTTTGCGCCCCTCCTCCTCTCCTCAAGTGAAAGCCGGCGGTGATCATTACTGGCGCTAAGCGCGTTCAACTGGAGAGACGCACCAGGAGCGCCAAGGCGCAAACACAGCAAGAGCCAAGATGTCAGTGGAAAGGATATTTGACGAGTATGGACATTTCAAAAGGTAAATAAAATGCTTTTCTCTTGATTAAATATACATATATATACATTTTGCTTACTTAATAAAAGCCATATGCTACATTTGGATATATTATGACGTTCAGATCATCTTAATAACGCTATTTAAAAAGTAAACACCGACAACCTAACCTCATTCATCTACAATTATCCTGGAATTTTATTCCATATGTTTTTAATTAGATAAAACTTCTTCCTTGATAAAAAAAAAATAATATATATATATATATATATACGTTTGTCGGATTTTTTTTGGACAAATAAAGCATTTTAAAGTTGTGATTTGAAATTTTGGCAGTGGCAATGGGAATTTTAGCAATGAATATGAAATGTGAAATTCTGTTCCCAGTTCAGCTGTCTACAACAACTTTAATAAGTTCTCTGTCACTGAACCTTTTCCACTATTGTTCACCTCAGGATCAAAAACATCAAAGTGTTAAACATATTTGGTATCAGTCTTTCTGAATCCGTTTTTCGTTAAACATAGATATTGTTGTTATTCCTTTTACAAAATAACGTCAAAAACTCAAGCAGATGGGATTGGGAACACATCCGCTTTCAAGTTTTCAATAAAAACATCCCCTTAGGGGGATGCAAACACTTACCATGTTTCATGGTGAGGATGGTGTGTTTGCAATAATACATGTCTGATTAGAGTACCTAGCTGATGCATCATATTTTTTTTCCTGTTTTACATAATTTATATCGAATTGTAATGAACCTCTAATGGCTTTATAAAGTGTCTTTGGCCTGATAGAGCTGTAGATCTTTCTATCATCTCCAAACATATGTTGTTTTTGATTTCCTCATTAATAAGCGCTCTCTTTTCCTGGCCAGTAGATTTGGGTGGTTTTGATTTTTTTTAAAATCTTCTAATAATGAACTGAACAGCAATTAGAAAAAAAAAAGTTCCACTATTAGCTTCACTAATTAGAAATAGAGCCTAATTAGTGAAGCTAATAGTTAAACTATTCAAAAATAGAGCCCCCAATAGTTGAACTATTAGTTGAACTACTTGAAGGTCCCTGGTTCAAATCCTGGCCCGGGGTCTTTCTGCGTGGAATTTGCATGTTCTCCCTGAGAATGCATGGGTTCTCTCTGGGTACTCCAGCTTCCTCCCACAGTCCAAAAACATTGACTGTTAGGTTAATTAGCTTCTCTAAATTCTCCTTAAATTTGACTCAAGCTGGGATTAAGCATGACAGAAAATGGGTGGATGGATATTAGCTCCACTGCGTATCTTTATCAGAGAAAACACGGGAAGCACAAATGCAAACAATATGTTTCAGTAATCTGTTTGCAAGGAAACCCAACATGTTTATTTTGCAGAAGTAGACTATAGAATAAAATTTCTGTCATAATGTGACAACTTCTTGAGTGGGTTAAAGCAGTGTGAATTCCTTTCAGGAGATAGTCCTATTAGGATTTCTGGAACCGTGTGCACCTATTATACGACGTTTATTATATGTATTTTAAACATCATGCTATAATCATATTTTCATGTTTTAATGTCTCTCCAGGTTCCAGGCTTGTTTGTATTTCGCTGCAGTCTTCCAGGCCATAGCATGTGGAATCCACTACCTTGCCTCGGTTTTCCTGGTTGAGACTCCAAATTTTGTGTCCATCGTGCCAGGCAACATCACCGATGTCCTGTATGGCAACGCTACAGGATCTACTCTGGAAAGTATCTTACCTCTCATCAAACCAGCTGGTGGCCCCTTGGTGGTTAGAACATCTGAGGGGGAACAGTGGGAGCTCAGCCAATGCAGCTGCGATCTGCGTATCGCCCCTCAGAACTTTACATATGACTTTAATGGCAACAAAACCACCAAAGAATGCAGTGGGAACTTTGTTTACGACCGCAGCGAAGTTTACCAAAGCATTGTGACAGACTGGGACTTAGTCTGTGAAAAGGAGTGGTTAGCCAAGCTTTGCCAGCCAACCTTCATGCTTGGAGTGCTGGTTGGAGCAGTGCTGTTTGGGGATATTGCTGACAGGTGAGTGATGGCTTCAGAAAGGGAACAGAAAGATGGCCGATTGCACACACCCTCACATGATTTTACATCTTTTTAAAAAAAAAACACGTTTGTTGTGAATTATAGTTCATTGTTTTACAAGGATAATAGAAACAGTTACGAGGGAGTCAAGACACATAACTATTGAGTTCTATATGAAATATTCACATGAAGTGAAAATTAAAATGACTCCTTGTTTATGAGTCCAGGGGATTTAAATAGAGGGAAAGTGTTAGAAGCAACACTGGTTGAGTTTAGATGGATAAAATGACATGACTAAACAGCTGAGAATTGAAGGGTCAGCATTTGTAGGAGTGCATGCTTGGCATGTAGTCTGCTAAATGATTTAAAAGGCTCCATGCTGACAGATCTGAGAGAGCTCTAATTATTTTCTTGGAAAGGTTCCTCTAAGATAAACCATATCCTTATTACATCTAGAAGTAGTACCTCACCTGACATGTACAGCATTAAAAGTAATCATTATAGACTTTATTAGTTTCCAAACCTCCTTTTACCAATTTTGGTCCTACATTAACCTTTTGTGAGCTTTTCACAGTTTATTATACCATATGTGAAGTTTGATTAGATTGAAACATTTTCACTATTCTCAATAAAATAATGCTGATATTTAGCAGAACAACTAAACAATCTATGCTGTTCTGTGATTTGGAGAAAATCTGAAATATTAACCTGCTAACCTCAGTAAAAAATGTGCATTTGTTTCTCTTTTAATCAAACAATGGCAGCAGAAGGTTTTAAATTGACTAAAATATGTAAGACCCAGAGAGGTACTCAGGGGTCTGTAGTTTTAGCTGACATGTTGGTGGACACAGAATCGGGAGGACTTATCATGGAATTGTTCCAGTGAAGAAATGCTTCCTTTTAGGTTAACTTTTTCTCTAATTGTTAGGATTTTATTGGCTTAATCAAACTTGGGCTTTTACCATGTTTTTTTTTTAACTAAAAACAACAGCCAATGTTGACAAGTGACTTGAAGTTGTAGTTAGATAAAAAAGTGTAAAAAGCTTTTTTGTTGGCTGGGAGAAAAGCATGAACTAGTGTTGAAGTCCAAAACCAAACCAGACGAACCAAGGGGTATCGAGACCTAGACCAGACCAAGACCTTTAGAGGACAAGACCAAGACCACGACCATATAAGGTCATGGTCTTGGTCTTGGCCTCAAAATGTCTTGGTTTTGTCTTGATCCTTAATCTTGATGGGTGTGGATCTTTACTTCACCATAAGCACGAACTGAATTAAGGAAAACACGAACTGCAATTGAATTTACATAATATAGTTATATTCAGAACAAACATTTAAATTATTAAAAAAAATAATCTCCATGTTATCGCCTCCTGGTATATTTGCAAGGTTTAAAAGCAATTTTAAATATAATTTTAGTAACTAATTTGAACTGCCAAAAAATTTAATTAAGAAAAAGGTAATAACGGCATTGTTGCATGAAATAATTAATTAGGTATTCCATTGAGATGAGTATTTAGTTTTTGCAAACAAACACATGAGCACACACGGATATGTGTTAAAAAAAA